CTCATTAAAGCACAAGGCTTGATGCTGTGCTACTATACTACGGAAGAGCCCTGGGGTCATGCTGAAAAATATATGAAAAGTCAGAATTCTGTGTTTGAAAGTCAAAATTCTGTGTGTAAAATTCTGTGTTTGAAAGTCAAAATTCTGTGTTTGAAAGTCAAAATTCTGTGTTTGAAAGTCAGAATTCTGAGAATAAAAGTCAAAATTCTGAGTTTGAAAGTCAGAACTCTGAGTTTGAAAGTAACATAGTATGTAAGGTTGACTGAAGACCAAGGCCCATCCAGTTCAACCTATGTATGCGAGTGTGTGTGTGTTTATCTTACTCTAACAACTCCCATATCCCTGTAAATTCTGTGAAAGAAGAAACTCATCCAGTTTCTTGAATTTATCAATGTTATCCGCAGATACCACCACCTGTGGTAGGGAATTCCAAACTTTCACCACCCTCACAGTGAAATACCCCTTGCGAATTCTAAGATTGAACCCTCTCTCCTCTTGTTGGGTCCCTGGGTTCTCAATACAGTTTTGAGATTAAACAGTTTGTTTACGGCTGCCCGGCTGTTTCCATTGAGCTTTAGTGCCTGTTTTCTCCCCCTCCCCTCTACTACGAATGCGCCCGCACACTTCCTCCTTCACAGCTGTTTGGGAGGTGGGAGTTCTTCTGCCGGGAGCGAGTGGCACTGGAACAGGTAAGTAATTAGGTATTTGCCTACTTTTTTATTTTTTTAGCCACTTGCTGACTGGGGTGTTTTCACCCCCTTCCTGGCCAGGCCATTTTTCAGTATTCAACGATGCGGTACTTCAGCTGACGTTTATTCCGTCATGCAACGCTGTACTGAAACAAATTGTATACCATTTTTTGGGGACAGGTAGAGTTTTCTTTTGGTGGTATTTAATCACCACTGGGGTTTTTATTTTTTACTATATAACAAAAAAGTACCGAATATTTAAAAAAAACAAACGGGTTTCCCTTTATTATTTTAGGAAACTTTTATTTTTACCCAATTTTCTGGTAAAATATAAAAGGCGTGGTCACACCGGGTAAATAGACACCAAACAAGTCAAGCTTTAAAATTGCGCACGCCCGCGAAATCGCAAACATTGCCCATAGGCGTTGCTTTAAAAGATTTTAGCACTCATCAGTTTAGTGTTATCAGTGATTGATGGCCCTAAAATGATTGCTCTCACTGCGACGTTCGCAGCGATATGTAACATGTGCGGCGTAATGGGCGCAATCGTTGTTTTTGGGTGTAGGCACACCTAGCGCATTTTTGCGCATCTATGTGGGGGTGGAGGACTTTAAAAAACTTTTGTGGGTTTTTTTTTATTTGTGTGTGTGTAAATGTTATTTATTTTGTTAGCAATTTTTTTAAAACTTTTTTTTACACTTAACTTTATTGTTATCACTAAAGCTGGCCATACACCTTACAATTATCTGCAGATTTTCTGTGGTCAGAATCTGCAGGTGCAACAGATTCCTCCATCTACGCTTAACTGTGTGGATGGAGTAATCTCCACCTGGGCCAATCTGTTGCACTTTTTCAATCTGACCACAGAAAATCTGCAGATAATTGTAAGGTGTATGGGCACCTTTAGGGTGCTAAGAAGTCCCCTATGTAATAACAAATTACAGTGACAGGTCCCCTTTATGGAGACATCAGGGGTCTCTGAGACCCCTAATTGGTAAGAGGGGGGGGGGGTCACCATGACTTGCATCATACAAGCAAGGCGATATTTACAGACGCCGGACCGCTTGTATGTAAACGGCGTCTGTCTGGCGCGCACGAGCGGGCGCGAAGGACGTCTAAAGATGCCAACCCGCATCCAGGAGACTCCCATCTGGCCGCCTTTCAGTGTTCGGCGGACGGGATGTGGTTAAATCATGGGGCATATATCTACTGCTTACGAGCAGTAGATACATGCCAAAAAAAGAATGGTCTGGAAGCACACCCTCCAGAGGGAAGGACAGTGTCAACATGAATTCAGAGATGATTTGAGGATCTACAGTCGAGTGATTCTCAGCTCAGGACTCTGCAACACAATGGACTCAGGACACTGCAATGCAATGGACTCATGATACTGCAATGCACTGGACTCAGGACACTGCAATGCACTGGACTCAGGACACTGCAATGCAATGGACTTAGGACTCGGCAACGCAATGGAATCAGGACTCTGCAACACAATGGAATCAGGACTCGGCAAAATAGTAGACTCTGGACTCTGCAATGCAATGGACTCAGGACTCTGAAATGCATTGGACTCTGCACCGCAATGGACTCAGGACTCTGCACTGCAAAGGACTCAGGACTCTGCATTGCATTGGACTCAGGTCTCTGAAATGCAATTGACTCAGGACTCTGCAACGCAATTGACTCAGGACTCTGTATCGCAATGGACTCTACAACACAATAGACTCAGGACTCTGCAACGCAATGGATTCTACAACACAATAGATTCAGGACTCTGCAACGCAATAAACTCAGGACTCTGCAACGCAATGGACTCAGGACTCTGCAATGCAATGGACTCAGGACTGTGAAATGCAATTAACTCAGGACTCTGCAATGCAATTGACTCAGGACTCTGCAACACAATTGACTCAGGACTCTGCAACGCAATGGACTCAGGACTCTGCAATGCAATGGACTCAGGACTGTGAAATGCAATTAACTCAGGACTCTGCAATGCAATTGACTCAGGACTCTGCAACACAATTGACTCAGGACTCTGCAACGCAATTGACTCAGGACTCTGTATCGCAATGGACTCTACAACACAATAGACTCAGGACTCTGCAACGCAATGGATTCTACAACACAATAGATTCAGGACTCTGCAACGCAATAAACTCAGGACTCTGCAATGCAATGGAGTCAGGACTCGGAAAGACAATACTAGTAGTGATAGCAGTGATTGTGGCCAGCTGCACAGAAGCCTGGCACACAGGTATAGTCTCTGAGCGCAGCATACTCAATGAAATGACAAAATGATGGCAACCCTGATTGCACTCAGCACTGATGCTGCTCTCTGTGCCTATTTCAGTTTTTCATCCACTTTTTTTACCACTCTCTGGAGCTGAAGACATTGGGCATAGATGAGAGCAGTTCCGTCCGCTCCCAGCACTAACCGTTCAGTGGGGGCTCCATCCTCGTCCAGCCACTTGGCTCCTCCTCTCTAGTGCTCCTGTGCTCTGCAGAACCGGCAGCCACCACTTGCCAATCACCGGCCCTGGCTGTCAACATGCTGGGCACAGTCCCCGGCCTAGTCGCCCCTGCCACCAGCATTGCCGCTGCTCTCCTGCTTGTCGATCCAGGAAAAAGGGACAGCTGCTGTGGGCCTCTGTAAAATAAGGGGACCGGGGCAGTTACCCCTTTTGCCCTGTGGTAAAGATGGCCCTGAGTGGGGGATTCGTTGATCAATGCTCATAAGCATTGATGGAGGAATCTGTAATATTTTCTTCGTTCAGCCTGCCGGTTAAATAAAGAAAATATTACACTGTATGACCAGCTTTAGTCTATGGGCAGCCAGATCTAAACAGATGTGCATCTGTTTACATCTGATTACCCCTGACTCTGGCCAGGTCTGGAAAACCAAACAGAACAGTGTTCCATTTTGGTGGTCCTGATGGTGACGTATCGGAGTTAACCTGATGTAAACAGACACATGTCCACTTACATCCAACTCCCCATAGACCTAACATTGGTCAGGTGAGGTCCCGCAGGCAACGGTGACATCCGCTCCGAAGTACTCCAATCAGGGGATCCGTGCACAGATTGGAACTGACAGGCACCTGTGTGAAAGGAGCCTTATGGTAATATCACAGAGTAACATTTTATTCAGTTGCATTGGCCTCAGTGTGATGCAATGTGGTGGAATGTGTCGCACCATGCATGCATGTATGTGTGTTTTTTTGCGTCATGTACAGGGCCATCCCTATAATGAGGCAGCATCTCTTTGTATCACGTGGGGAAGGGGGGGTGGCAGGCAGAGCGGGATGGGCGCTCTGCTGCGCAATGTTTGCAGTGTGCCTGCGGCCCGATTTCTGGCCAAAGCATCCCAGGTTGCTAAGAGCTTGGCAGGGATATATATAAGGGTCATACACATCTCCCTGCCCAGCTCTTAGCAACCTGGGACACTCTAGCTGATGTCCCACTCAGCTCCTGGCAACCAGTGGTGTCACTGGTTGCCAGGAGCTGGGCAAGATGCTGGCCAGAGTTAGGCCAGAGCTAGGTGGGGAGATGATGCAGAGGACCCGCCCCCCAACAGCCTTCACCCCCGCCCCCCTTGGCGCACACCACCAGCAGGCACCATTCCCCCCACCTCAGGCAGCGAAAAAGACTGGGGACACCTCTGTACAAGGCAGCCTATTCATTTCAATGGACTTCCATTTGAATTAGAATCGCACCAAAGCACTTTCTGGACCTTTTTATTTTCCAAAATGCGCCACTCCAAAATTTATGGTACTGTTACCAAGATTTCTGATGCAGTTTCACGTATGGTGAAGCAATGTGCATTGGGGTGCCATTAACAAAAATGGAACCACAGCGCGTCTTACAAAGTGCCATGCGTCTTGGCACGCCGCGCCAGTGCATGCGAAAACGCACGTCTCTGCGCACAGATGTGAACAGCAGCTCCAGCTCCTCATACATTCGCCATAGGCATAATGAATATGGTCTATACTATATGATCTTGGATTCCTTGTCTTTGCAATAAGCCTGCTGGCAGCTTCCAGCCACGTTTCACCGCAGGAGCCTGTGGTGTCGCCCTTTTAAGAGCCCCCTCCGGAGGATGTGTCCGGGCCAAGGGGTGTGAGCGGGGAGGAGATTGATGGCCAGGGATGCAGATTCATTATCATGTGAAGGGTTGGAGGAGGGAGAGAGAGATAAGAGGTACAGAGGAGAAGGAGCAGACACACAGGAGGAGGGTGGATGACATCCCCTGCATTGCCCCGGGGGGATCCCGCAGCACCCCGGCTCCCCAGCCCTGGCACACAGCAGCTGGCAGACCTTCACCTCGTGTGATCGTAGTGCCTCCAGCCAGAGTGCAGGGCATGCATGGGCAGAGGAAGCCCCGAGGACAGCACACCATCATCTGAGCCTCTAGACATGGGGAACATCTCCTCCAACATCTCCTCCTTCCAGTCCCTGCACATCGTCATGCTCGGCCTGGACTCCGCCGGCAAAACCACCGTCCTCTACCGGCTCAAGTTCAACGAGTTCGTCAACACCGTGCCCACCATCGGCTTCAACACCGAGCGGATCCGGCTCAGCAACGGGGCGGCCAAGGGCATCAGCTGCCACTTCTGGGATGTGGGTGGTCAGGAGAAGCTGCGCCCGCTCTGGAAGTCCTACAGCCGCTGTACAGACGGGATCATCTACGTGGTGGACTCCGTGGACTCGGACAGGCTGGAGGAGGCAAAGACAGAACTGCACAAGGTGACCAAGTTTGCCGAGAACCAAGGGACCCCTTTGCTGGTCATCGCCAACAAGCAGGACTTGCCCAAATCCCTGGCAGTGGTCGAGATCGAGAGACAGCTGGCACTGCAGGAACTGAGCCCATCTACCCCATACCACGTCCAGCCAGCCTGTGCCATCATCGGAGAAGGACTCACTGAGGGCATGGACAAACTCTACGAGATGATCCTCAAGAGGAGAAAGACTCTCAAGCAGAAGAAGAAGCAGCGATAACATTGGGCTGTCCTGCATGCCAACCAAAGATGCCCTCCTGATGTTTAGGGAGCTCCTACTGTGGACATGGCATGTCTGGGTGCTGGCCTGGAACCTAAAAAAAGAACAAATTCCTTGCACTATGTGACAAGGGGGGACCCAGTTAACCAGATGCAGGGCAGGACCCTGGCATTTGACCCTCATCCATCCTGAAGGCATAAGCTGTGTCATTGCAGAGCAATATGCAGCCCAACCCTCCAGTGCCACATGGGGATTCAAAAGAACAAAAATACACTATTGACCCAACCCTGGAGTATGGAGATAGATGGAATGGTTGCCCAGGGTAGGGCCAGATGACAAGTGTTCTATGCGACAGTGGACTGCAGACCATGGTTGGCTATAGATATGTCTCAGTCTGTATAATTTATGGTCCTGCCAAAAATAATGAAACTTGAAGTTTTTAGTGCACAGTGTTGACATTATCTCTGTGGACATGTCCTCATATCACTGCTGCTGGGTGTGCTGTGTCTGCAGGGGGTGTCTCTGCTGTCTGACAGCTGTGCCTGGTATTCATTTTCCTCCAACACCCTGCACTGTTTCCCCTCCTTCATTCATATCCACAGGTTACAAATGTAACAGATTCTGTGCTACATTTCTGTGATTCAGTCTGTAAAGGAATGGGGTGTAGATATGGGGTGGGAGCCATGCTGGTGTCATCTCGTGCCCATTACTACTGCATGAGGTTAATATGTAAGATTGCTAGAACGGTCAGCTGTTGCCATCTCTAGCCTCCATATTTTTGCACTCCTCACTAAACGGATTGTCGAATTTTACAAACTCCTTTGTTCCGTCTGTTTTGTTGTGTCCGTGTTGCGTCTAGTCATTCCAGGCAGTCTGGTTTGCAGATTTTTAAAAAATTATTTTAAGAAAAATATAATAGAAATGAAGAGCTGCTGATGTATGTGTGTGTATATTGTATGTGCTTTTATTTTGTGCTGATGGGATTTGTTACAGTCTTCCATTTGTTGTCCGTCTAAGCAGGGGATGGCCCAGCACATTTGACCATCCATGGTGCTGCTGCAATCTGACAGATATGGGTAGTCAGTCAACACTTGCTTGGACTTTTCATGATATGCTTCGTCCAGTGGAAGCAGCTGTTCATTCATCCGATGATGTGGCCATTAAATATTCCGATCTCCCATCTTGCCTATAAAAGATCTGAGCGGCTGAATATCAGGAAGGGAAGTCGTTGGGCACACCAGTTGAATCTTTTCTGCAGATAATCATCATATTTATAAACTCATCTCGGTAGATGTGTAAACAATAAGCACTGCTACTGTTGTGTCTGATTTCCGCATGTGTCCATTTGTCACAGCTGATGCTGGATTCGGCCATAGCACCTGTAAATTTCTCATCTATGGTCCTGGTGCCCAACATGCAGCCCTCAGTTACTTGTTGAGAGGCCCTTGGACCTCAGTAGTCCAAAGTGGGAGTATTGTTGCCTAAAGGATAATAGCACTGATACTAGTCAAGCCTTCTACAGCATGTTGCCAGTCTCCAACCAATCCTCTAGCATGCCCCCAGCCTATCTAGTCTAGCCTTCTACAGCATGTTGCCAGTCTCCAGCCAAACCTGTAGAATGTCCCAGCCTATCTAGTCTAGCCTTTTACAGCATGTTGCCAGTCTCCAGCCAAACCTGTAGAATGTCCCAGCCTATCTAGTCTAGGCTCCTACAGCATGTTGCCAATCTCCAGCCAAACCTGTAGCATGTCCCAGCCTATCTAGTCTCGGCTTCTACAGCATGTTGCCAATCTCCAGCCAAACCTGTAGCATGTCCCCAGTCTATCTAGTCTAGCCTTCTACAGTATGTTATATTGTAAAGCGCTGCGCAAACTGTTGGCGCTATATAAATCCTGTATAATAATAATAATGTGGCCAGTCTCCAGCCAAACCTGTAGCATGTCCTCAGCCTATCTAGTCTAGCCTTCTACAGCATGTTGCCAGTCTCTATCCAAACCTGTAGCATGACTGACCGTTCTCTTTAGCATAACATACACTGAACATTATGTGTGGCCCTTCGGTGATGTCGGAGGCTGCATCTTGGAATCCACCCAAGATTCACACCATTTTCAGTTGAAAAATGTGTCTATTTTGGATGAAAGTTGTGTGAATTGTGGGTGAAAACATTTATAAATAGACCTCATAGAGTATGATGGCATAGATACTTTTTCCAACCAACCAAAATAGCTATTCTTAGGTGCTCCAGATAAAGGTGTCCTAGACCAGCATTGAGTCTTTGCTTACTCTTTATACATAAAGCATTCACATCAGTAAATTACCCCTCTGGATTTCAACAGGAGTTATATATAAACTGTGCAGAAGGACCCTGTAGACGTAGAATATCCTCAGGTAGTTTATTTTGAAGAACAAGGTATATTTATATCTAACAGTTTAGTTTATACACACTTCTCTCATTTGTTTGTTCGCTCATGCTTTTCTCTGGTACTCCAATTCATGTCATTATGCAAACGATGAGCTAAGTTTGGGAACAGAACTTATTCCATTGATGTCATGTGATGGCGGTCCATAGAGAAGAGTTCAAGAGCAAAAGTGACCAGTAAGGGGTGTATACAGAAAATGGTTACATACAAAATATGTTCTAGCTAATTGTCCATTTATTTTGCAGATCCAAATATACATAAAGCAGCACTTAAGCCAGCTACTAAAAAATATCAATAATGTATTTTCTATAGGACTGGTGTAAGTACAGTACCTGAATCTGCCTTGATATAAGGTTCCTATAACCACCTACATAGTAGGATTATTGCAGAGAACACTGCAAGCCAGTCAGGCTGTATTGCTTCCTAGTGCTGTGTGTGAACATGTTTATAGGAGGGGCAAGCGCAGGAATGACCCCATCAATGTGCCTTCTGTTTCTTCGATGTCCAATCACAGCCTGCGGCGGGTCTCAGACAAGGGTATGCTTCCTAACTGGAGGTAGCCTGGCAGGTTAAAGACTTGGCTATGCTCTCTGCAGGGGGGCCTGGATTAAATTTCCGAATGACTAGAATTGTAAATCAAGAGCAATGTTGGAGCTGCCATTCTTTTATGGAAATGCTAGTTGCCATGCTATCACTGAATGTAATACTTTCAGAGTTGCTGACCTGGAAAAAGCATGCAACAAGTCAGGAGTCAGAGGACATATAAACATTGGCATAGTTTCTAAAGCTGAAATTGACCAACGTGTGGCCCGGCCAACACTATATCCATCAAAAGTCAATTTTTCAATTGACATTTGTTGAAGGAGCTGGACCATAAATTCTCAGCCAGACAGTGACTGCGGACAATCGGTTGAGTCTTCTGACAGTAACACACCCACCGTTGCCACAACACAACAGCCCAATGGGTGTTTCCCCAAACCACACTAAAAGCATGAGAATCCTGCCTGAATGACTGAGAACAAATTTAGTGTATGGCCAGCTTTACCAGTATGTATGTACGTCTTATAGAACCATCCACACTGCAGTGCTTAAAGTGTATTGAAACCTAAGAACAGAAATTTAATATGTTGCAGTTTACCAGTCCCCAGATCTGGTGTCTATTTTAGTATAGATATATTTTTTACCTGATGATCCATCCTGTCCTAGGTAACAACACTCACCCACTGTATTGTATCTATGGAGGAGCAATGTAGTCACCCTAGGGCAGTAAGTGTGTTAGGACTGCAGAACACCTTACTCTATCCTCATTTTCATAACATGGGAGGGGTGTGTTCTGTAGTCCACACAGGAGAGCAGGGCATGACTAATAATGCAGTTTTGAGATAACATTGCACAGCAAGTTAGGAGCTCATTGGATTTTTGTCAGGATTTGTTTTGTACTAATCCTATATAAAAATACAGAATGGCCTGGGATTTGGTCATTATGTGCAAGGCATTTTCTAGTAACTGTGGTTATGTGCAGGCATTTTCTAGTATTCCTGGCACATTTAGGGCTCCTTCATACCTTTCCACATGGTTGTGATTTGTGCTGCACCCACATTGACGTACGTTGTGTTAACGCAGCCCATTAATCTTGATTGTGCTGCCAGTGCACCACAATGAACCAAAGAAATCCCTCAGCCTTTATTTAATGCAGGACACCACAATTCATGGATGCGGCATAGCGCTGGTGCGTTACAGGCTACTGTACTTGGGCCTTGGGGTGCCGTTCTAAATGAATGGTACTGCAACACACCACACAAAGCGCTTTGTGTCAACACACTGCATAGCTGTGATAGCCAGCCTTATACTTTTTAACACATCTTTAGAGTCCCTTTAAAAATGTATGTGTTTTTCATGTACTTAAAGGAGAACTATGGGGTTAAGGCTTTTCCCCATAGTTCTCTTTAGGGTAACAGGAGGACACAAACTAGCATCCTCCCGTCACCCTAAGCACAGTATACCGCGAGCTAGAGCTCGCGGTATACTGACGCCGCAGTATACAGCTCGCTACAGCTCGCTGTATACTGAGAAGCCGCAGCTGAAGCGGATCCCGACAATTATGTCTGGATCCGCCCAGCTGCGTGAGTTACAGCTGGCTCTGCCTATCTAGAGGCAGAGCCAGATGTTCCCTCCCCCGCCAGTTCCGCCAGTCAGCGCTGGAGGATCGGAGCGGGGAGGGGGGAATCCAGCCCCTCCTCTGTCACGGCAGAGAGCCGTGACAGGATCGTGAAGTGAGCGAACGCCGCTATGTGTCCGCTCACTTCCCGATCTACTGAGCCTCCCTGTGACAGTCTCATTGTCACAGGTCGGCTAGAACTATGAGGTGAGTGAAAAGCACTCACCTCATAGTTCTCCTTTAATGTATTTATGTACTGCGCTGCATTTTCTACATTTCTTTGTTAGTGTTTCCACATATGGGAGGTTAATCCCTAGACTTTGTGTGTAGCTGCAAGCATGAAAACCCATGTGAAATGCTCATTTTGGCCATTTTTTCCATCTGATTCTATTGACCCTTATGGAAAATGTGCTTGTTGTAAACCACAAAAAACTGCTATAAAGCAGAACTCAAAAAACCAGACCAGCATATTAAAAATCAGTGTTCCAGCACTCTTTATGCATTGTAAGTGCTTAAGGGTTTGGAAATGCCCAAAACACAGGGGTGGAATGGTGGCATGGGCCATAGACTAGAAACTACTAGTACAGCAAAGGCAAATCCCATCATGCCTATGACTTTGGGAGCTATGCCTGTGTCTGTCAGTCTTGCAATGCCTCATGAGACTTGTAGTTCAACAGCTGGAGAGCCGTGGTTGCCTACCCCTGATCTAGTATTTCATGCATGTCCAAAACAGACATTGCATGCAGTACCGACACACAAGTATAACACTAAGCAAACAACCTAACCTAAAGCTAACCAAAACGCTGCACTATTTGTTATTCTGATGTCTGGGCTGATAAAATG